TTGGCGGGCTACGCCTTACCGTTCGGAAAACATTTCGGAAAAACCTTGGGGGCTCAATTTGCCCCTCACCCGAGCGCGTATAAAGGATTGACATTGGCAATCAAATTCTTTTTTTAATAACTTCAATTCAATTTTGTTGTTGAAAATGGAGCTGCTGATAAGCACGTCTTAAGTAAAACCTTCGGACACCTTCTACGCGGAAAACATATCGAAGTGCAACTTAAAAGAGCATTGCATGCCAATGTTCAGTAACAAAATTACGTGTAGCTTTTTTGCGTGAACTTTGAAAAAAACACATTTTCAGGCCATGGTTCGGATAAGGACGTACGCATGAGCCAAAAAAAACAAACAATTTCGCGCATTCCGTACTCCAAAACAACAAGAAAAGTGTTGCATGTTGGTGGAGGCACATGTCATTTCATTGTTCAAACGACGGGAAATCATTGAGCTTGAGCCTGGAATTTCTGGCACCTGCAGTTCGCCAACGCGTGCAGCACTCTTCTATAGTTGAGCTGCAGCCGCAGATGATCGGTTTTTCCCTCAGCGTGTCAAGAATATGAAAAAACTAGTATTTGTTTTCATCAAACAGCTCTGTGATCACATCTTTCTGTGACCCCGATGCATCACCTTCTTCCTTCATGCCTTCACTACCTCTTGCCCAGCATCTGCGCAGTCGCCTTCACCTCAGTCTGAGTCCAAGTCGGAACCCAGTGTATTGCTCCTTTTCCAGGCAGCCTAGAAACCCAGTTTAAGCCTTTATATGCTAATTGCTGGAGCGCAGAGAAGGGCGCCCACCAGGCAACACTTGTCGCACCAGGCTTGGGTCATGCCTAAGGTATGGTAGAGAGTGTCGTGATGGTTGGGTTGGGGCTCCAGACGCACACATGGTTTCCATAAGTGGACATGGCCTCGAGGTGGCCTGCATGTTGGACGTCATTCCCAGTTTTTGTTTGCACCAGCTGAAATTATGCCATACACTCAACCACCCTGGCTGTCGAGGCTCGTTTTTTTTCTCGGTCGAAGATAGCAAGTCCGGGCGTGGATCAAGCTTATATGTGAGGCCACGGCAAGTTCAGAGGGTGGAAGAAGACTGCTTTTGCGATTGGACTATGCCGTTGCCTTAAGCCGATTTACCTGCATTCGTCGCAGCAGCAGTTATCTTGGTATTAGCTGCATGAAATTGCATACATGAACGTTCCGGTTGTGTGCATGCTATTGCAAGCGGCGGCGATATCGCGTTGCGCTGCTGGTGACAACTTCGTCCGCAGAAAGTCTATCGGCGACAAAAAATTATCTTTTACCAACGCTCCATAGCCTTGCTATGTGTCATGTACGCCGAATGGCACGCCGAGGGAGTAGGTCAAGTCAACCTGAAACCTTCCAAAGTGGAACTAACGGTTCAAGGCTTGCAAGGCAAAAGCCAATCAATGGTTTCGGTGAGTTATTGAATGAAAATGTTTCATTTCAGGGAAAATATGGGAAGAATCGTGTTTTGTTTATATTTAGCACACAGGATGACCATAGAGGCAGTTCGGGTAAAAAATGGCATCCGAGGTCAGCGTTACTTGATCCAGGTGCACCGGGATCAGATTGAATAATGCGCCGGGACCCGAGAACCTTACTGGACTTTGGTACTGCATGGTATTTTGGTGTTATGGGCGCGTCGACAGCAGCGGTCGTTTTGCAAACTTTCCACCGATAAGAATGCTTTGCTTACATGCTTTCATCCCTCCAACATGACACTTTACCTTCTTGTGACCTGACCCATTGCATCCTCACACACTGGTATCATCTGACATTACACGCAGCTTCTTTTTGAGCACATCTGTATTGATAGATGGGAACTATAGACGCATCGTGTCATATGACGTCATGCAAGATAACTGCCCTAGCTTGACCTCTAGGAAAGCAGAGCTCAGCAAATGAGATCATGAGAAGTTGACCGAATCCAAGCGCAAATACATCATAACTCATCAAGTCTGTGCATTGAAGGGAATGCTCCGCGTTTGAAGACATCAGATAAAGCATTAGCTGTGATGAGCTTAACTCTTTACTTACAACTATTGGTATAATTCTTAGTGGAAAAGCTGCTCTAGAAAGCACAATTTCTCTGTTTAGTGTGTATGGTCCTCACTGCGTCATTGTTTGATTACGTCATCCTATCCTGCACAACGTTGGTAGACAACCAATTGACGGTTGTTAAATCAGGAAACCGTCCTCACCAACGCTAGATATAAATGACTTGCCAATCATATTTTTCTTGGCATTATTGATCGCGAGGCTAATGAAATGACAGAATTCGAATGACATCATTATGGCGCCAAGGGTGCCCGGTGACTTTTGAATAGCATTCTCGAAATAGTGTGCACATCATCGAAGGAGTACAGCAAAGAAACTGGAGGTATTTTGATCCTAAGAAGGGTAAGGTCATGTACCGCACCGGATGATGTTCAAGATGGTTATTTCACGTCAAAGCCCCATACAAATGTGAAGCACTCCATTTAATTACAAAAGGAACATTCCGTGGGAATGCTCATCGTTTCACCCTCCGTGTCCTGTACTCCGGCACGGTTGCACGGGTCAGGTTGGCCCCGGCTTGAGCATTGCTAGCAGTTTTGTCATCGGCATGCATTCAGATTCAAAACAAGACCAACTGAGCCACACGAATCGTGTTTGGACAGCTACCAATAGACATGTCTCCTTTTACAGCTGGGTTAAAACGCCGCGTGCCCCCCCCCCCCCCCCAGGACCGCACCCAGGACCGCACCCACTCGATGCCGCACCAACGCATCGCGAGTCCAGCACGCTTCCACTTCGCTACGAAACCCTCACGCGTCGTGCATAACAAGGATCACGCTGCGCTTCGTTGCATGCACAGACTAAGTATATTGAAGTGGTAAAGAGCCCTTTATGGTTTCAAGAAGTGTAAGCTTAATTAATACATAGTCCAGCCTACGACGAATTCCTTACTGTTGCGTCAAGAAACTCCATCTGCTGGCTTATATTAGTTCGTACATGCACATGATATTAGTTCGTACATGTCAAGGGTGATGTCGCGCAAATCAAATAGCAGGGACGACTAGTGCAAAATGGCTACACCTGCCCTAAAAGGACGATAAAAACGAGATTCCTTACAGATTTAGACCGCTATTTTCAAGATCAGGGGATGGAGGCATCCCTCTACGCTCTAAATGCAAGGCCGCAACCCTGGTGTAGTTAGCTGTATGCGTCATAAACTCTCGTCTAGGACGTATACAGCAGCGTGAATACATTCAGAAATGTCAGAGTAACAGCTCCATATAACCCCAGTATTTTTTTTTTTTTTTTGTCTTCCCGGCCGCTCTCATACGGCATCTCGCTGGGCTGGGCAAAAAGCCAAACAGGATATTCTTACTGGATAATACAAATAGCAATGCTTATTTTTCAGGGGTCGGAAACAGATGTTATTACACTGGTTTTTGGTTAGCATATGTTCTATATTTTCATTAATTTCAAGTATCTATGTGTCCTATTGTGTCCAGTTTTTCAGCGCACGTTTCATTCATCAGATATCACTGTTTCTATAATGCAAGAGAATCACCATCATGTGTGGCCCTCCTTATGAAAACTTCACGGTTCTTTTCAGCTTTTCACACCATATTTTCGAAATCCCACATCGGAGGGGCAAATTTGTTTTCTGCTGATCATCTACGAACCTGCAAGAAACAGTCTGTCACAAAAAGGATACCAGTTGCTATCATGCCAGACCACTAATAACTTCATTAGCAAAAACGGTAATGAAATTGAAAGGAATCGCACGAAACGTATATGGACAAGAGGCAGCGAAATGCAAATTTGATAAAGATAAACTAAACATCAGCAAAATAGAAGAATATCTTCGTCATTATGTGATTTTGCAGGGCCGATGCTCTGTTTACTCCTCTGCGCTGGATGCCATCAGTAAGTGGCATTTAATGAGCGTGTCGCGTGTCTTGTTCAGTTTCGCTAGTGTGTGTTGGGTCTTGCTAAGAGCCGCAGCGAGTGAGCCAGGGGTCTGCTGGTGGCCGCTTTTGTCCATACACGCAAACCTTAATATATCACCGTGTCAGCATTTGCTCAACAGCGCAGAGGCAGCGTATTCAGAATGCAACACACTGTTTCCTGCTCGTTGTGGCTGATCTCGGTCAGCAGGATTATATGATCTCTGCCCTGCTGAAGGCCAGATGGCCTAAAGTATATGAGCTTCACACCTAACACGGATATCGCCACGATGCAGCATCTTTCCACCGTCCTAAGGGTATCTGAACCGCTGCTCGGCGCTGACGAGTGCTCCGTCGCTTTGACGTGTCCGCCCGCCGCGCGCGTGCTACAGAGCTGACGGCAAGCTGCAGCTTACCAATGAGCCAGTTCCGCTGTTTGCTCCGAAATGATACTCCGAAACTGATGATAATGGTCATTCATCAAACGACAATGTCGATAGGGTACATATATATTTGCAATAATCGGCAAAATACATTGCCCTTACAATAAAACACGACATAAATTTGTTTCGCGGGTGGATGCTTCAATAGTCTTGTCCATTGGCAGCGTGGCCCGTGGCAGAAATGGCCTCGACATAGATGGGTGTCGCTATTGGTTTGACCGACGCTTGGACCACGGGGACGTTCAGACCATCCCTCAAACTCCGCGTGACTGCGGGGGACTCCTAATCAGGTGAAACACGGCAGCCGGATTGCGGCTTCTCTTGACGTTAGATGGAGCGCAGCAAAGTGAACGGCACACACCCTATAACCCTATCCAACAACTTCCGGTATCTGATTCCGGCTGCCCCCTCCCCCGCCCCCCGTGGGTGGCCAACCAGCACACCATCAGCCGGCGGCGGAGAGGTGACTGACCAGCAGTCCGTGAGGATCTGCGGAATCAGCTGATCCTGCTGGACCATCTGAGGCTGAGGCGGTCCCGCCTCTGATCACACCATCTTCAGTCTCTTCAGCCACGTCCAAGGCATTTTCCTATTCGGCTCACGGAACCGAAGCGGCCCGGCTCGCCGGAGTCAGCTGATCCCGCGTGACCATCGGATCCAGCCCGCCGAGGCTGCCTGGGGGACGCTCCAGCTGGCACGTCAGCTCCACACGGAACCGCCGGGGCAGAGCAGGGCAAGTCAGATGGAGATCGGGGTTTACAGATGGAGCGGCTGCTTCGGCGGAGCGTCGCCGGCGGCCGGGTCCGCCCGGGAAGGCCGCCGCCGCCAAGCCCATCTTGAGTTTGGCTGCCTGCGTGGCCGAGAAGCCGCGGCCCAGGCCGAAGTCCAGCCCGCGTTTGCTGTGGAGAAGGACGCCGGTCAGAAGTTGGAGGCTGTGATCTTGCTGCGCTATGGACAGGGTACGCGTTGGATGCTCAGCACATTTGGCGATCATGCGCGTGTTTTGTACTTCTCTGAATTGAGCAGCAGGAGAGATGTTTGTAACTTTTTGCGTGTAAATTCAACACGCCATTATCTTACCTAGTTTTTGCTGTCCAGCCCGACAGGACTCGCGGCGATAGTAAAGGACTTTTATGCTTTTCAAGCCATAACATGCTACCCAAACTGTCACCTGTGTTAGGTACTGATGGAAGACCAACGATAATGAAAATGATATAAAGCGTAAAACATGGATTACTTACACCATTCATCACGCCCAAATAGAAACAGCTAGCTCTGAGAGCTAGCTGGCTAGCTAAAAACTAGCTCACACAAAATAAGCAATTAGCTGAGCGCACCCTATATTAACCACTTCGCTGAGCAGGTCAGCGAAATTAAAGTAGACAGAATGTCAACACTCTCCACAGTGATGTCCTTTCTTGCCCAGGCCACGATGCACGAGAAGCCAAGTGGCAGGCAGCGACATCTATTGGAGCCCTGGCGACATACCCGGCGTAAACGGACCGCGCCGCGGTAGGCGTGGCCGGCACCTTGTTATACAGGTGGAAAAACGGCACGTGCTTTCGGAAATATCTGTCTAGTTCTTCCTGGGCCAGATCAGTTTCTTCTGCGTCGTCGAGCGTGCGCAGCCGATTGACCAGCTCGCTGACGTAGGGGTCGCTCAGAATGCCTTCCACATCGTCCGCCCAAGATTTCCTGCAGAGGAGGGATGAGCGTCAAGCGAGCACTCTGCACAATCAACCGATGATGATGATGTGATGTTTTGCAACCTGATATTCATGCAGGATGCAAAGCAGGCCTGCATGAATATCAGGTTAAGTGTATCAGGAAAGGCATGAATGCCAGGAAAAGAGGCGTGCATAACACCGTTATGGATCTAGGATGACCTTATGTGAACAGTTGACGGAGTTGCGAACGCTCTCTGTTTCTGAATGCAAAGCAACATAAATTATATGAATTATGCAAAAATCAGGATGGCTCTGCGCTCCGTGGAACACTTCTTAATCTAAATTGCGTACAAAATGTGTAGCAAGTAAACTGAAACATGCCCGCCCTCTGACACCCACGGTGCCTCACAGGATGAGAAGTTGTTACCCCATGATGGTAGGTGATGAAAAATAAATCGCCCCAAATATTGAAAGACTTAGTTATTCTGTATACATATTCGATTGATATTCAAACTCAGCATTATACAATTTTGAAAAACTATCTTCGCAGCATACGACTTTCACATGGCACCGTTGAATGTACCAATCAGGGGGCATGATTTGTCAGGGGTACTCAGTCACAACCAGTAATGATTACTTTAAGTTTTCGGCATCTAACCATCTAAGGTCCTATATAGCGTTCGAGATTAAGGATGGGAAACATGGAAACCCGTCTGCTCTTGTCTGGGCACATGGTCCACATAATTTTGTATGCGCCCTTGGTGTCCTCCAACCCAGAGAGATCAGTTAATGCATGCTTCAATTATACTAAAGTTACATTTTATATGTTTGGCACTACCGATCATATGTGAAAATGCTACAATTTGTTACATACAGCACTGGGGCTGCGTGTCAGTGAGCGCATTAACAACAGTTGCTAAATGTAGACATTCATGAAGCAAACCATGTTTGAATTGATGGGCCAGATACCACCTATAAATTGTTTTTAAATAAGCGGCAGAACAGCATTGTATTTGTGACGTAATGGGTCACAAGTAGTGGTTCACCTATTGGGTTGATAGCAAAAAACACGACCATATACACTGCAGATAAAATTGCCTTAACGCGTGCCCGGGTGGCCGACTAGATACCCTTCGCTCGGGTAGGGGTCAATTTGACCCCCCCATCCCCCTGAGATCTCGGGAAATGAGAAAGCTAGAGACACCAAATTCACAGGATGTGTTGAACTATACGTAAACTCACTTAGGCCAAAATTTGAGGCACATAGGTCATGACCTTCATAGGTCATCTTAGGTCAATTACCTATTCCGACCTCTACGAAGTCCATGGAAGATGTATGATGCGGTTCCTGCTATCAATGAATTCGAAATACGCACCAGAAACTATCCCGCACAGCAACGCTAGAGTAATAAAACAGATTGATTTTGACCTTGGTCTGACCTTTATACCTGACCTTAGATAAACTTTATTTGTTCATTCAATATTTGTGTTGCCTAAAAGCATTTCAGAGATGTATGTATTCGTCTAACACTCCGTTGTTGCATCAGATTAAGCGATTCCCTGGAAACTGGCTTCGCTAAAACTATGGCCTGACTTTGACCTGCCATGGGTCAATGACTTTACAAAGTACATATAAATTGTTGATGCCAAGTGATCCACTACTTAATTGTTTACTGCTATGCAAAATTTGGCGTGGCTGCGCCGCGCCGTTCGGAAACCATTTTGGAAAAACCTTAGGGCGGGTCAATTTGACCCCACCTGAGCGCGTGTTAAATCTCACGGAGATTGTTGGACTTAAACATGTCATTTGTTAAGCGGTACCACCAAGAACATATACATTGAACTGATCCCTGAGAGGATCATGGCGATGTCAGAACAGCTCTCTGCGTTCCAAACAAAACATGAAGCCCGAACTCTCCCAGTTTCTTCTCCTTCATCACACACGCACGGAGCTACACACCTCTCGGCGTCCTCCATGTGCGTGCTGGCGTCGCTGAAGGACCAGCAGAAGACGAAGCAGACGATGGCAGCTAGCCAGGTGCAGGCACTGATAGCGGATACGTGACGAGTCATGAGCCTGAAACGATGGTAGGTCTGGGTCAGGCAAGGGACATGGGACAGAGTCAGGCCAAGGTTAGGCCAGTATCAGGTCAAGTCAAGGTCGGGCAAAGGTCGGGTCAGTGACACTGCCCCGGGTGAGGATTAGATTGCAAAGCATGTCATGCTGGACAACGTTAGCTAACATGCCGTGCGCTGCGTCTGAAGCATATATCAGAACCGTGTCACAGGGTTATGTAGTGGCTGCTTGAACATGGGATTTTTCATAGCAAGAATCAGCTTTAGGGCAAACCATGTTTAAGCTAGATTGTCCAGCTATGATATGACGGTTAGCAGGGCCCCAGCCAATGTTTTCTAACAGCCAAATCTGCGCCGAAGCTGCCCCAGCAACTCGCTGGTGGTAACCGAGCTCGTAGACTGTACCGCAGAACACCAGGCCGTCTGACCGGATGTGAGTGTTCAGTGACCGGCACGTGGGCAACCGTCGCCAGTCTGACGACGCTTAAGTCACTGTGTCGTACGGAAATTTTTAACTCAGACAACTAGGATGACGAATGGCAGCCTGACTGCTATTAACCAGCGCCATCATTACCAGCAATCAATGCTTCGCTGAACAGTTAAGAACACTGGACCTCTGATACAACGTCCTACCTGCAAGCATGCAACGTTTAATACTTGAAAAAGACCTTTGGGCATGAAAACCTAGTCGTAGCAACACAAGAGAGATATCAAACAGCGAAGATCCATCTGAGATGAGCTCACATAATACAACAATTCAGCGTGTTCTGTCTGCTGACGGTCAGCAGCGTGAGACTCACTCGATGCTTGTGCCGGGAGGAGATCGCCTCGTGGTCGCCGCTGTGCTGCTCCACCGCCGACTGCGATGCTGGTGTCGCCTCTCCGGCACCTTATGTTCAATTCCCCACGAGACAGCAGCGACCAATGGACCAATGGGGCGAGGCCGCGCCTTTAGCCAATCAGAACAACGCCCGGCCCACGCGAAACCTGATCCGTTCAATTAGCCGGATGATTTCTGAACGGTTGTCAATGAAATTAGTTGGCTCAAATAATTGAGCTACCAACACAGTGGGTTTTGGTTAAATCCGTAAAAAGCGACTTACTCCTGATATATTTGTTACATTCGCCTTTTGTTGAGGCCTTTCTTTATGCAGATGCCATTACGGAAAAGCCGCCTGATATGGATCATGTGAGAAGACTTTAAGTAGCATTTGCACTTGAATTTCGGAGGCGGTTTGAGCCACATAGTTACGACTGACGGTTTTTAGGTTTAGACAGGTTTAACCAGAAATTGCAATGCCAAAACAATGGCTTTTAGTTAGAAGCGCAGAAAGCAGCGATTTAGCCCGCTCCGCATATGCTCGGCTCCTGCAGGGACCTCCTCGTTATGTCGCTGTTGGTCGGTCGGTAGGTCAAAATCGGTCTGACACGGGCCATATATGGGGAGATTACACAGCATTGACACTTAAATTGCGGCGGCAGTTTGAGCCAAAGCGTAACAGCTAACGACCGAATACAAAAGTAAAAACATTTCAGTTGTTTGGGGTCCGTCATAAATGAAAGGGTTCTCGGTGAAATAGCAAATTTTCGTCCATTCTAAAGAGTAAAGTCGTAAAGCTTTTATGGTGGATCCAGCTTCTTAATCTAGGTTCATTTCTCTTCAACTTTGGGTGCTAGTGCACAGCGCAACGGAATGCCAACTATGTACATTACGCACGGGCCATGTGTTAGAAATGTAGGAACATTTGTGAGAAAGGCACGAACAAAATCAACGACGCAAATTTTCGCAAACAAACGATTTTATCCAGGTGTGTTCGAGAGTGAACTGACGGTCACGAAAATAGGCCTTATGACTTTGGGGAGTCCATTCCGACCATTTGTGTTCCCGTAGGAGGTTCAGGTCATATCGGGTCACCGTTCAAAGTTGGTCTACCAGTGTCATGAATGACTGACACTTTGTCACAATATGCTTTTGTAATTCTATCTTATTATGTCTAACTATGGAGCGAAATGCTTCCAGAACAAAAATACCATTTTAAGACTACCTAAAAGTCAGCTGGGGTCAATCTAGGCCAAATTTACAAAGCATCCAATTGAACAAAGGCTTAAGTTTTGAGTGGATCTATGTGATGAATTACATGTTTTCCTGTGGTTATAAACAGTGTGTTGTATATCTATAGGTACGCTAGGTGGCATTGCTGTCGTATGCATGATGCATAGTCCCTTCGACGCTTGAAAATGTATGTGTAACAAACTGAGAGCTGCCACGTTGGTGCATGCAATTATACGTGATCAGCATCACATACACGATAGGAAGGTGTTACAGGCGCCGTATTCGCTCATCTTGCGCCACTGGAAAGATAGGCATTGACCTTAGATGACCTCATATGCCTTTTCCTGTCCTCACATAGCCTATTGTGACCTCATGATGCAAAAGGATGATACTGCAATATCTTTTCAGTTGACAACTCGAAGGATATGCCCAAAATTACCGTATACAACTTCTTGTTTTGAGTTGAGAATGTGTTTTGCAGAAGACGTCCCTAAAGGTAAGTCAGTAACTGGGCCAACTTCATGTGCTCTGTGGTCATATGATTAATGTGCATGTGAGTTGGTTTCCTTTTCCTCATATGCAATCACCAAACCTAACGAAAAGTACGTACGTGCGTACGTAGTACACGATCTGTATTATTTACGAAAATAGAAAAAGTTGTCCTGACTTCATGTAACTGACCTCTTGTCTCTCCAAATAGCTGATATTATCAAATTTTAAGTACAATAATGTTCTTTTAACACGCGCTCGGGTAGTGGATCAAATCGCCTTTCCCCAAGGTTTTTCCAGACTGATTTTATAACATGCATAGCAGTGGAAAATTGAAAAGCGGATCGTTTGGTATAAACAATTTCGACATATCTGGCACGCTCGCTGACCTATGGCAGGTCAAAGTCAGACCATTGTTTCAGCGAAGGCAATTTCTAGCGAATCGCTCAAATCTGATGCAACAACGGAGTGCCGTACATCTCTGAGATGCTTTCTTAGGCAACGCAGATATTAAACAAAGCAAATTCAATTGACCTAAGGTCACGCATAAAGGCAAGACCAAGGTGAGAATCAACCTGTTTTTTCACTCTAGAGCTTGCTGAATGGGATAGCTTCCCGTGTTCATTTTGAGTTGATTGACATCAGGAATCGCATTATACATCTTCCATTGACTTCTTAGAGGTCAGAATATGCCATTGACCTGAGATGACCCAGGTCGGCATTTTGTTTTTAGGAGCATACTACCTAGCGCAATCTTTATCGTTTATTCAAATAGAAAAATCGCAGCAGTCTTGTATGATTTTGGTCACCATGACCCTCAAAAGGCTTAACAAGATCACTGACCCTAAATGGTCCGATGACGTTTTTTTTAGAAACAGTTATCTAGGTTCTGGGGGTACTTGGGAGACCAACATGGAGTTTGACCTTGTTTGACCTTATTTGACCTAAAAGTCATGACCTATGAACCTTAAACTTTGACCTGAGTGAGTTCATGTATAGGTCAACATGTCCTGTAAATTTGGTGTCCCTAGCTTTCTTAGTTCCCGAGATCTCAGGGGAGTCAAATTACCCCCCCCCCCCCGCCACCCAAGCGGCGGGTATCTAGCTGGCCACCTAGCTAGCTGGTAGCTGGTGGTCTAGCTGGTGTGTTAACACAGAATGTCAGAACAATGGCAAATGAACCACAACAGTTATGTGTGGGGATTTTTTAGAGGTTGACCTTTTGACCTGGTCTAAGTCACTGATTTTGGTAAATAGGAAATTCAAATTCGCACAAAGGAAATCAAACTGATAGATCAGCAAGTTCTTTACTTACCTGAAGATCTCTACGAATGCTGAGTGCATTCCAAAATTTGGATTTCCTCGTTTATAAAAAAATCTAACGATTTCGAAACATGAGTAACAGGCTCAGGTGCGATAGGAAGATGCTGGAATGCAGCAGCTAATAATGTGCATCAATCAGGTAATCAGTTAATAATGCATTAGAATGTGGTAGAATGCGTGGTTTTCTTGGCGGGCGTCTAAGACGCGTACACTGGTTTGAATGCATGCACCGATAACAAAATCCAAGCTCCGCCTAATCTTAGATGTTTCCAAACAGGCCGTCCCCCCATCCCCTCTCACGCCGCCCTTTTTCGTGCTATCGTGGCCGAGAAATCAAGGAGGATGTTTCTACTCGACGGCTGACAGAATAAGGCTCATTTTTTGCATTCTAAAACCGGTGCTATGTCGCTAATTGCTGAACATGTTCTGTGGATTTTATACAATTTATAATATCTTTGCGCCCACGCGCTGTTTTTCAGTATCCACTAATTTCTCAAATGGCGTTGCCATAAAAAGAGCCGCTATTATGTAAAATCCTTATTCTGAACACTTCACGGCAGTTTCAACTTCTCACACCAAAATTTAAAAACTCTACAAGGAAATGGAAAATGTTTCAGTTAGTCATACATAAAGTTGAAGAAAACAGTCTATCGTGGCTCATCGGGAAATCAGGAAATATCAGAAAATATAATCAGGAAATAACGGAATTGAAAGGAATAGCACTGAACGTATCTTGACAGGAGGAAAAGAAGGAAAAGGCGATTACAGAATCACACTAGAGTGCCAGCAAAAGCAAACCTTTATCTTTGCCTTTGTGTAACTGTGCAGCGTAAACCCTCTGTATATTCCACTGTTCTGGGTGTCCCCGGCGCATAAGTAATGAGCGTGTCGCGTGTCTGTGTTGGTGGGTCTTGCCAGGAGCCGCAGCAGGTGTACCAGGAGTCTGCTGGTAAACGCCTTTGTCTATGCACGCAAACTTGACTGCATAACCGTGCTGGGCATTGCTCAACGACGCAGGGGTAACGTGTTCAGAGGACAATACGCTGTGGCGTTCTCATTGTGGTCGGTTTCGGCCGGTGGGATCATGTGACTCCAGCGTTGCTGAATCCCAGATAATCTAAAATTGATGAGC